TGGGCAATCAGACAGACCTGAGTCTGGATCCCCTCTCTGCCACAACATGACCTTGGGTAAGTTGGGCAAGTTCCTTCACCTGAGCCTCGTGTTCCTTATCCACAAATGTGAGCAAAGAGTACCCACCTCTCAGGTTTTCGGACAGATACAATAAATGTGACCTGTCCCTGCTATTAATCCAGATTGATTATCTGGCCCAAGAAGAGGGGATCACAACCAGCATCCCAGCCTGTCTGCAAATGCAAAACCAGTCCCAAAGACATTTTTGGAAGGCCTTTTCTTTCGATGCAGCATGCAGAAGGGTGTGAGAGTGAAGAGGTCAAGCAGTCCCCATTTCAGAACACCAACACCTTTCTGCAAACAGGCGCCACATTTAAAGTACGAAAGTCGGAGACCCACACATAAAACGGGCTCAACAGTCAGAGAAACCCAAAATATCCCTCACCTATTCCAAAAGGCCACAAGAATTCAGAAGAAAAAAGTATAAAAAAAAACCCAGCAGACACCCAAGATCCCACCTCCCAGATTTAAGAATTATTTACATCAGATTCCTTTTTTTTTTTAATAAAACAGACATAGCTGAAAGCCTTCCACACCCCTTTTCTCCCCACTCCCTCTCCCCAAGCAACGGTTCCTCTGTGTGATTCCCACATACTTCTAACCTCTAATCACAACATATCTACTTATTATGTACATATCCATAAGCAGTACAAATAAATCTCTCTCATTTGGTACTTTTTGAAATACGTAGAATCTTTTGCAGCTTGCTTTTTTCCACTCAACAGGATATCTGGAGATTTACGAAAGGACTGGGAAACCAAAGTAGATTCTTTTTTCATAAAATGGAACTGTGCTCAACAGTTAAAATGAATGAACCAGGGCTACCTGTAGCACCCTCTGATGATATATTTCCATCAACTTCCTAATGTTCTTTCATACTGACCTTTGCCTTCACAGGTTGCATTTGCCCCAATGAGCAGTCACAGAAAGGCTCAAAGTAGTTAATCAAGCTACTCTGGTCAGTGACACAGTTATGTACTGAGTGGCAGAACCAGGATTCAGCCCCACCCCTGCCCAAAGCCCACACACTTAAGACACCATTAACCATGGGTCTACTTTCTCCTTAATTTTTGCCTTCCAGCCCAGTTTTCTGGCTCTAAACAACTGCCATTTGACCAGAACTCTACCTTCCAGAACTTTCACATGCTTATTCCTGTGGCTTTAGTGGAAGCAAAACTTGCCTGAGGCAAGGTACTGTGTTGGTCTAGGATTATTCGCAAAATTAGCACCAACAGAGCTACCCTTTTTGGGGGAGGGGGGGTGGAAGATCCTACATAAGGGCAGTGGGGACCCCAAGAGGATGAGGCTTCCTTGTCTCCAGGTACCCATCTAGAGGAAACAGGCAGTGATAGGCAGTGACGGGCAGTGATGGGCAGTGAAGGGCTCAGAAGACTGAGAGGCGCTGATCTTCCTGGGAATTAACAGACTCATTTACAAGACACAACAGCTGTTTTTCCAGTTACGCCTGGGATCATTACTTTGAGCTCTCATCTGCAATGGCAAAAACAGCAATAAAAAAAATATGGAAGGAAGGAAGGAAGGAAAAGAAAAAAGAAAAAAAAAGAAAAGAAAAGAAAAGAAAAGAAAAGAAAAGAAGAAAAGAAAAGGAAAGAATCCTGTAATGTAAGATAAGCAGCTCTCTTATCAACCCTGATCCGACCCCAAGACAATCCCAAGGCCTCCTTTGCCTTCCAAGAAACCAGCTTCAGCCAGGACCCAAAGGTGACCCGTTCTATCTGCTTCATCTCAGCTAGTCCACTGAAGGGATACTTCTTCCTCCCAGATCACAGAGGGGACACTGGCAGTGATGGTAAACTGTTACTGAAACAGCAACAAATCTCCCCTCCAGCTGGAATCCCAACCGCCATGACATCAGACCTCACCCTCCATCAGCGCCCTGTGTGACACTCCATGCAGATCACATTTTTCTGAACATCACTTCTATCGTTTGTAAACTCCACTTCATTATCTCGAGGTCTCTCTCGGAGCCACAAAGGTCTTTTGAGGGAGGTGAACCCCTCGGTGGACAGGGGCTCACTTGGGGGTGAAGGATGGGCTTAGTTTCAAATAGAAATATATTCTTTGATGAAGATAACCGAAACCTTTACTCAAAGTTTGTTAAATGGGAGTGAAGTAGTATCCGTGCTATTTTTACTGTTCTGCAACAGACACTTGGAGTAAAACTATTCTGCTTGCTGGGAGACAAGGGATCCTCCCACACGGAAAGTGTAGCTATCACCTTGGAGGGTACTTGGCAAATGTTAGCAGAAAATGAGAATAGAGAACACAGCAAAATAATTTTTTTCCCTCCAAGGTCACTTTGAACAGTGGGTTTGAAGCTCCCCCCTTCCTTCTGGCAGGAAAAAGACTTATTTCCATAAGGTAGAGCACGTTCTCCAGTGCAAGCCACAGGCCTCAGCCTGCACTGTTTCTGGAACAAATGTGCTCACCCCAAGGGTCCTCAGAGGCCTACTTTATCTGACTGCTAACTAAGGAAACTAAAACTCCATTTTGCAAAATGCCATTTGGATCTTCCTTCCCGCACCTTTCAAACTGTGGCTTTTTCTCCGGGAGTGTAAGAGGGTTTGAGAGGGAAAACCGTATTAGAACTTTATTCTATAATCATAAAGTTGAATGGGGCACGAGAGATCGTTGAATCCTACCTCCTCATTCCTGGTACTGTGTCAAAAATGAGCGAGGACTTCCAGGTTTCAAATTAAAAAAATAATTAGCAAAATAGTAACAATAAAGGGGGCAGACACAGGTAATGGTATGTATGCAACCCGAGAATAAAAACAAGAAATCTCGGGGGCGCCTGGGTGGCTCAGTTAGTTCAGTGTCTTGACTTCGGCTCAGATCATGATCTCTCGGTTCGTGATTTCCAGCCCCGCGTTGGGCTCTGTGCTGACCGCTGGATCCTGGAGCCTGCTTCAGATTCTCTATCTCCCCCTGTCTCTGCCCCTCTCATGCTGTGTCTCTGCCTCTCAATAATAAATAAACGTTAAAAAAAAAGGGTTTTTTTTTTATTTAAAAGAAAAAAAAAACAAGAAATCTCTCCTTTCACTTATATGTGAAGTACCTAACGTAGTCAAATTCATAGAGACAGAAAATAGAATGGCGGTTGCTAGGGGCTGGACAGAATGGGGAACAGGGAGTTAGTGTTCAATGCGGACAGAGTTTCAGTTTTATAAATTCAAAAGAAAAGAGTTCTGGAGATGGATGGTGGTGATGGGTGCACAATAATGTAAATGTACTTAATGCCACTTACAAATGGTTACATGATAAATTTTATGTTATGTGTATTTTGCCACAATTTTTTAAACTGAGGAGAAAGAAAAAAAAAAAAAAAAAAAAAAAAAAAAAAAAAAAAAAAAAAAAAAAAAAAGACATCTCTACCTGCTAGTTTTCATTTGGGGACCAGCATGGCCTAGGGGCTGGCAACTAAGACCCGAGTCCTGAGTTTCTCTCTCTGTTCTGCATTTACCCTCTGGGCTTTGGGTAAGTCATTTGACATCGCTGAGACTATTTCTTCATCTGTAAAAATGGGAATAATAATAATAGTCCCCAACCTCATAGGCCTATGAGGATAAAAAATAAGAGAACATAATCTCATAGCACAAGAGTAATCACACGCTAAGTTATTATGCGTTTTAAGAATAAATTAGTTTATTATTTAATGTTATTTGAAAGTCAGTACTGATCAAATAATTAAATTATTAATATTCTATTATCAGCTAGATCGATAAGCGCATCAGACTTCGTTTTAAGGGAAGCAGCAGCCCAAGTTAGGAGTCAGGGGACCTAGGCTTCAAGAATGGCTGTGCGCGTGAGATTTCTCCCAGGTGACACGCAGGGATTGACTGAGACGATCTCTTAGATTACCAAAAAGCAAGATCAGCTTTGCTACTCGGCGGGAGCCAGACCTGGAACTGCACCTCCCTCACCGCCTAATCTCCCCGCGGACGTCCCGGACGAGGGAAGGGGTCCAAAGATCTTGCCAGAGGCTGATTGCAAAGCCATTTCCTAAACCGAAGGAGGTAGCATAGTGCAACACTTATGCAAGACACCCTCGGATCGGGAGCCAGGGTCCCGCACCTTTGTTCCTCCCCTTGCCAAGTCTGCCCCGGCCCGCTGGGGGAGCTGCAAGGAACCTGCAAGCTTCCCACATCCTGCAGAGACCCCAAGAAAAGGCAACCCCTCAACAGCCTAGGTTGCAGAATTAGAAATACGCCCCTGCACATGCGCGGTGCGATTTACGAGTGGCCCCGGGACACGACGCGCGCCCATTGCGCCTGCGCCGTCCCGCTCGCCCTTTGGGGCACAGGACCAGAAAGGGGGGGGTCCCAGGGTCCCACGAAGAAGAAAAACGAATGAGTCTGCGGCGGCCGCTAGGTCCCGGTTTCCTCGTTCCTTACCTCATAGTGTTTCATGGCTTCTTCACACGACCCCTACTAATCCTGCTGCCGCTGCTGCCTACCTGCGCGCGACAAGGAACAGGCTCCCTCACGCGCTCGCGACCGCCGCGCGAGACTAACATCGGTTCCGCGTCCGCCCCGCCCCTCCCTGCCACGAGCGCCCCTACAGCCAATCAGCGCGCGGGGCGCTCACCTTCGACCCCGCCCCGCAGGGCAGGTCTTGAGCGAGGACTAGCAGCTCTCGCCACGAGCCTGGCCAATCAGCTTGCGGGACACAGGGAAGCGCTAAAAGGTGCTTGGCCACCCACCAATCAAAATAAGGCCTCGGCGCCGCGCGCCCTTTGCCCACCTCTCGGTGGCGTCGCTGTGGAAACCGAGGGAAGCAACGGTTACCGTAAAGCTGGGGGCGGGAGCAAAAAGTTCAGTGACTGGGGGAGCATCATCCGCCTGGCTGGAGGTGCGGCTGTGAACTCCCAGGTGGGCAGCCCCCTGGGTAAAGGGGAGCAACCTGAAAGGGATAGGAGCTGGGGGCGTGTGCTTGGGCTCCTGGATGGAGAAGCCTCTCCAGCGAGGGGACCCCCCCATCTGTCATGAATCGGAGGGGGGAATGCCTTCACTGCCCTTTTCAATGCAAGCCCCACCGCCCCACCTTGTCCGGCCCCATAGGCGGAGGGCCCACACTTGTCCACCTGTGCGGTCCAGCATGGTCACCACTGGTCACATGTAGCTAGTGAGCCCTTGAAATGTGGCTGGTTGGTGCAAATTGAGATGTGTTGTAAATGTAAAACACACACTGACTTCAAAGACTTAGTATTGAAGAGAATGTAAAATAAAAATCTCACTAATAACCTTTAATGTTAATTACAAGTTGAAATGATAGTATTTTGGATATATTGGATTAAAATAGATTATTAAAATTAAGTTCCCCTGTTCCTCTTTACCTTTTTCAACATGCCTGTTGGAACATTTAGAATCACAGACCTGGCTTGCATTTGTGGCTGGTAGTTGTGCCTTTACTGGACAATGCTGGTCTGGGGTTATGCCATGCTTTTGCTCCTTTGTCATGAGCAGGCTGGGAAAGTTGGGCACCACCTCATACACGCACACACAAGCGCGTGCACGCACACACACAAACACACACACACACACACACCACACAAGATTACAGGACAGGGTAAGCAGTGAGTAGCACCTGGCACACGCCCTCACCTACCTTCTCTCCTTTCTCCTGGTTCCAGACCCTGCCCCTGAGCCTTCATCAACCGTTGAACCCTTTGGAATTTACAAGCCTGACATCAGAGACAGTGGTGAGAAGTCCTCAAAGGTAGATCACTGATTCACCGGGGAGCAGGGTGGGGCAAGGTGAGTCAGTGCTTAGCACTTAGTCATCCAGGTTCGGTTCTGGAAACTTCTGAAGCTACAGCTTTTGGGGACCAGTGACTCCCAGTGAAGGAAGCCAACGCTGTGGTCTTCAGAAACACACGATGTTTTTTGCCCAGGTCTATCTGGGCAAAAGAGGTGAAAACCTAAATGTGTTTTATAATTGTGCTTTCAAAAACACAGATCTTTCTCGATTGGCAATTGAGGGCTCACAGTATCTTGAGATCCTTTGTGTCCTGACAGCTTTCACTCCCTGCCCTCACTGAGGGGGGACAAGAGGAGTAATCCCCTAGAAACCAAAAGTTAAAACCCTACCAAGTTGAGTTACTTGAAACATCTTAATGGTGCAGCGCTGAGGGGCACATTGGAACTGCTAAAATCTAGCCACGTTTTGCTACTTTGCCCGTCAATTTTCAGCTTCTCTAATGTGGGCTGGGTCCGTGTGTCTTCTGTCATGCTGCATTGCAGCCAATAAGGTGTGTGGGGTCCAAACAGATGTCATTTTGGAGAGAGTCCATGTACATTCCTACGGACTCAGAACATCCTGGAATGTACCTTTTGAGACTGCTTTCCTGAGCCTTATACTCACTCAAAAGGCACAAAATCATTCTGTGATCCTACGATATCGTGTGCCAGCAAGGGCACACAAATAATTTCCACCCTCTTTTCATCCACAAGAAGCTCATAAAAAGGCAGGATCTAGCCCAGAAAGAAGAATTCCTCCTTTTTTTTTTTTTTAAATGGATATTGCAGATGCAAGGACCCCTTATTGGCCTCATCTGGCTTCCACTAACCAGGCTGTCAGAAATAATATCCACCTTCAGAATGAAGACTGGCCACTTTGTTCAAACCATTCACGATACTCTACTGAGGCTCTCACTGTGCCTGTCAGGGACAGCTAGACCCTCCTTCTGTCCCCAGCATCCCCAGAACAGTGGCTAATTCGCAACAGTCACAGTTCACGTTTGCTGAGCCAACTATGACAAGCCCCTTCAGGCGATTTCCAAAGGGGAAATTGCAGAAAAGCCTGGCGCAGTGGCAGCACTGAAGGATGAGCGAGGGCTCCTTGGATCTCGGATCTGGTGGAACCCAGGGTCATTTGGATGATGAAACTCTGGTGTGTCTGTCTATCTCACAGGCTCCTTTTGTATTTCCCACATGCAAGTAGGTAGGATCTTGATTTCTCTGGGAACCTGGCTTGGCTTGTTCTGGCGTATGCGATGGAGCTGGTTCAGAGTTGTGGGAGAGGTGAATCCTAGAGCAGACAAGCCAGGGCTGGTTAGCAACTTGCCATTGTGTCAGGAATCCCAGAGAGAGGCTTCCAAAGTCCTACCCGTCTTGCCTTCTTTAAGTCCGTAGAATTTTTTGTCTTTTTATTCAGCTATCATTTACATACAGTAGAATTTACCTTTTAGAGGGTACAGCTCAGAATATATGCAGCTGTGTCACCATCATCACACTCAAGATGTAGAAAATTTTCCATCACCCCCCCCCAAATTCCCCCGTATCCCTTTGTAGCAAATCCCAGCCCCTGGAAGCCACTGATCTGCTTTCTGCCCCAATACATGTACCTTTCCCAGAATGCCTTATAAAATGGCATCACAGCAGTAGGGTTCAAACAGTCTTTTGAATCTGGCTCCTTTGACTAACATAAGGCATTTGAGATTCATCTGCCTTGTTGTCTGTACCAATAGCTCGGTCCTTTTTAATGGCTGAATAGCATTCCAACATGTGGCTCGACCACAGTTTATGTATCCATTCTCCCACTGAAGGAAATTTAGGTTTTGATGGCTGTTGATAATTACACATCAAGCTTTGATAAACATTCGCTCGTGGGATTTTATGGGAACTTGGGTTTTTATTTCACATGGGTATTCCACTAGGGGTGAGACTGTTGGCTCATACGGTGGTAGTGCTTTTGAAGGTCTTTTTAACGAGGAGAAGCAATGTTGAAAAAGTGGTGATGCATTCCTTAAAAATTAAGGCTTTGTCATCATCTGAATCACATTTTACACAAGCTGAGGGCTTACCTATAAACATTGAGTGTGCTGAACACTTTATACTTCAGCATTTCAGTCACTGGGTGACCGCAGGCAAGTGACATGACCTCTCAGAGCCTCAGTTTTTCCACTGCAACGTGCAGGTAATATTAGGCCAACCCCATTGGATTATTGCGAGGATTAAATGAGTTATGGAGCATTTGGAGCTGGCTTGGCACATAGTAAGGCCATGTCAATAGTATAGCCGTTATAATGTTTATTTCCTGGCCCCTTTCAATTTCATCCTTATAGCAACCCTGGGAGGTAAGATCTCACTCTTACCTCCTCCATTTTATAGGAAACACACCTATAATGATCAAGCAAGTTGTACAAGATCACACAGTCAGTAAATAAGTAAATAGTGGGTCCAAGATTTCAGCTGAGGCTGACTGACTCCAGGCTCACCTGCTTTGTTCCTATATCAGCAAGGGTTCTCCCAAAGAAACAGAACCAGGATATGTGTGTGTGTGTGTGTGTGTGTGTGTGTGTGTGTGTGTGTGTGTTAAGAGATGTATTTCGGGGTGCCTGGGGGGCTCAGTCAGTTAAGCATCTGACATCATATTGGCTCAGGTCAAGTTCCAGCCCCACATCAGGCTCTGGGCTGACAGCTCAGAGCCTGGAGCCTGCTTCAGATTCTGTGTCTCCCTTGCTCTCTGCCCCTCCCCTCTTTGTGCTCTCTCTCTCTCTCTCTCTCTCTCTCTCTCTCTCTCTCTCTCTCTCAAAAATAAACATTTAAAGAAATTTTTCAAAAAAAAGAAATATATATATAAGACATGTATTTCAAGGCATTGGTTTACACGATTGTGGGCACTACCTAGGCAAGTCTGAAATCTGTAGGGCTGACCAGCAGGCTAGAAACTCTTGGCCAGGAGCTGATGCTTCTTCCTCAGGGAAACCTAAGTATTATTTGCTTTTAAAGCCTTTCAGCTGATGGGACAAGGCCCACCCACATTATCCAGGGTCATCTCCTATACTTAAATCAACTGACTATAAATGTTAACCACATCAACACTTACATTACTGTTTAATTGAGCATCCGGGTACTATAGCCCAACTAAACTGATGCATAAAATTAACCACCCCATCTTCTCAGAGTTGAGAGCTCAAGATCGGCTGAGGTTTCTGCAGAGGCTACTGTCCCAGTAACATTTTGAAGTGTCCAATGAGTGTCCAGGTCAAAAAATCCTAAGGAGAGATGTTGGGGTTATTTTGCATATATTGGCGTTAAACAAAAATTCCTGAACATGACCCAGACTCACACAAGGAAGAGGGAGTCTCCAGCCCTAAGTTTTCCCCCAAATACAAAGACACCCAAAGTCATGTAAAGATCTTTGGAGGCTGCCGTATTTGTAACTCTAAATTCATACTAGGGGCGCCTGGGTGGCTCAGTCGGTTGAGCGTCCGACTTCGGCTCAGGTCATGATCTCACAGCTGGTGAGTTCAAGCCCCGCGTTGGGCTCTGTGTTGACAACTCAGAGCCTGGAGCCTGCTTTCGATTCTGTGTCTCCCTCCCCCTCTGCCCCTAACCCACTCGCATTCTGTCTCTGTCTCTCTCGAAAATAAATAAATGGTAAAAATTTTTGTTTTAATAAATTAAATTCATACTATAAAATACTAGCATGTAAGCATGAAACCCACAAGCGCTGGATTTTCCTTCCTGATGATGACTCTCCAGCTATTTATGTAACTTTTTGAAAAATTGAATTATTTCCCCCCTATGATGGTTCAGGACCCTGCTGTGTGTACTCACGGGTGCCCAGCCCAGATCCATCCTCCTGGGTTGACCAGTGTGTGTACTAATCCAATCCTTACTGACACAGTTACCCTTGGTGGGGTCAGTGAGTGGCCAAGGATGGCTGGAATCCCCCAGCTGGAAAGCAGCGGAAAGCCATGGTCTTCCTTCTCAGGAGTTTCAGCTTGCACAGGGGTGGCAGTCTCTAGAAGCTTTTTGCTGTGACGCTGCCAGGAAGGGGGTGGCTCAGCAGCCCATCATTCAACAAGACAGTTAGTCACCCCTTTGATAGTGCTTCCTCTGTGCCGGGTCTGTCCTGGGCACTTTACAAATGTTGACTCATGTCAATTTCTTTTTTTTTTTTTCATGTTTATTTATTTTTGAGAGAGAGACAGAGAGACAGAGAGCAAGCAGGGGAGGGGCAGAGAGAGAGGGAGACACAGAATCCGAAGCAGGCTCCAGGCTCTGAGCTGTCAGCACAGAGCCCAACGCAGGACTCGAACTCACGAACTGTGAGATCGTGACCTGAGCTGAAGTCAGATACTCAGCCCACTGAGCCACCCAGGTGCCCCAACTCATGTCAGTTTCAAAGCCCTGTGAGGCAGGTACAACTAACTGCTGCCCCCATTGTACAGATGAGGAAACTGAGGCCCCACATGGCTCAGTAACCAGCCCAAGATGGTGCAGCCAGGAAATACTAGAACTGGAAATGAAACCTGCTGTCTGGCTCCAGAGCCAGCTGCACACCACCCTGACCTCCCAAGCAGTTCTTCCAGGAACATTCCGCCTCAGCCACCATCACTGCCGACCGCTTTTTCCCTACGGCCTTCTCAGGTGGTACCCCTTTCTGAGCCTCCTTTAGCCATCAGCCCTGTCTTTGACCACAGGCACCCCAGACTGTCAGAGCCAAAGGGGATCATGTTGCCCACACAGGAGGAAACAGAGGCCCTGTGGGGTGTATGACACGTCCATGTCCCCCCAAATCATAAATGTAGTGGGGAGAAAAATGAAGCAGATGCATTAGAAACAGGCAGGAATACTTACGAGCGTCCACTGTGACCGGGCACCAGATACTGTTCCAGGCACTGGAGACCCAGCACTGACAACTGCAGGCCGGGAGGGAGGTGAATTGAACACGAAAAGTCAAAGAACGAGATAACTTCAGATTTCAATGGCAGGTAACGCGAAAGGCATGAGGAGGAGCCTTTTTCCCCCGGAGGGAAGATTACTCCGGAGAAGTGAGCTTTGGTCCTGGAGCCTCACCCTGCTTTATAGTGAGGACAGGGACAGTCCTGGGGCTCCTAATTGCATTCTCCCCACAGCCAAGAGAACGGTGGGTGTTTTTATTCCCCTGTTCCATAAGTCGGCGTAGGGGGGGGAAACCTGCGGCAAGGAAAGATTAGTCAACTTGCTCAGAATCACCCGGAGGGGAACCCACCCCCGGAGCCCGGTGAGATGTGTGCGACCAGCTCTACTGTCACCTGGGGCAGGGCGGGGCAGCTCTGATGGGCGTGGCCGCCTCCAGCCCTGCCCCTTGCCGGAGGGCAGTGTCGTAACCTATTGACCCAGGCTTCGGACGGGACTCGCCGCAGTCCGGGTCAGCAAAGGCAGTCAAAGAAGGTCGCGATTGGCTCCCCGCAGAGAGTGGGCGGGGCCTCCTTCGCTCGGTGCGCGCGCCGCCTCCGGGATGCGTTGCCGGGGGGTAGCGGGAAGGGGCGTGGCCGTGGGCGGGCGGCCGTTGGCAGCGTGGCCCCGCCCCGGATGTCGCGCGTCGCGGACTGGGCGGCGGCGATTGGTCGGAGCGGCGCAGGGGGCGGGGCGGAAGGTTCTGGAGGGGGCTGGCGGGCTCTGGAAGCTTCCGCCGGACGGGTATATAGAGTCCGGGACGGGGCGGCGGCGAAGCCGGGGTACGGCGATAGCTGGGCGGCGGGCCGCAGGCGAGGGCTATGGGCAAGGACTATTATCAGACGCTGGGCCTGGCCCGCGGCGCTTCGGACGAGGAAATCAAGCGGGCTTACCGCCGCCAGGCGCTGCGCTACCACCCAGACAAGAACAAGGAGCCCGGCGCCGAGGAGAAGTTCAAGGAGATCGCCGAGGCCTACGACGTGCTCAGCGACCCGCGCAAGCGCGAGATCTTCGACCGCTACGGGGAAGAAGGTGCGTGCGTGCGCGCGCGGCTAGGGGCGCGCCCCCGCCGTTTGACTGAAGGGGAAACCGAGGTTCGGTGGCCAGGCTGCGGCGCCCCCGGGGGACGCCTGGGTCCCGGTGGGCGAGCAGCCCCCGCCCTCCGGCCACGCGGGCCTCCGCCCTCGGATTGGCGGCCGCCCGATGGGAGGAGGAGTCCTGGCCGCTGTGCTTGCCCAGAAGCTTCTAGCAAGTCTGGGGCTGCCCCTCCCTAGGCGCCTCCGCCCACGTCCCCGAGCGGCCCCGGGGGTGCGGGTGCGGGCGGCAAGGAGGACAGCCTTAGCCGGGCCGGTGGCGCTAGGGCCCCGGGTTCCGGGGCTCACCTGGGCCGAGGTGGCAGGCGCTGGCGTCCAGGGGCGCAGGGCGGGGCCTCTGGCTGCGCGCCGGGCGCGACCTGCGAGCCGGGAGCCTGCGACGAGCGCGCCGATTAGCGCCGACCTCGCTCCGGGGCCCCTGTGAGGGCGGAGTGAGGTAATCCCTGTAAAGTGCTTACCAAACCTGGTGCCAGGCACGTAGATGGCAGCGGGCGCCGGAGCAGTCCAGGTGCGGGGAGCGGCGGGGCCCGCCTCTGCCCGGCCTCCTTCCTCGGCGTAGGCCTCTTCGGGCAGGAGGAGGAAGCTTTCTTGTTGTCCAGTTGCCCGTTGATGACTCAGACTGGTTTCTGCGCTGGGTCTTAAGAAATGAAGTGGCTTCTTATGTAAGGATGGTGACAATTGGTGTCAGGGTGTGAGATTTTGAAAAGCTGTGTTTATTGTTTTGCTTTCACTTCTGCACTTCACACTTGACCAGCTCTAAAGTATTTTTAAGAGGAAGCGCTTACTGAAGGTGGACCCTGGATCATGTCTTTTTCGTCTGATCTCTTAGTGGGTTCTTTGTAAGTTTTCACCTCCACGCAGGGAGCATAGGCAGTCAAGAAGTGGCAGGAGTTGGGTGGCCCTCAGAGAGGGCGCTTGGGCCCCTTGCCACTGTCCTGGCACCCTGAAGTACCTGGAGGAGGGGCGGTGAAAGCTTAGGGTTCTTCCTTGATCTTCTGTGACAGAGAAGGGAGGCTAAAAGACTTTTCCGCCCCATGGCTCCCAAGTTTTTTTCCCTTAGCGAAAGGTCTTAGAGGGGGAGAGGCTCCCCGCCAACCATCTGATTTCCGACTTTGCCTTTCAGGCCTAAAGGGTGGTGGCCCCAGTGGCGGGAGCAGCGGTGGTGCTAACGGTACCTCTTTCAGCTACACGTTCCACGGAGACCCTCATGCCATGTTCGCTGAGTTCTTCGGTGGCCGCAATCCCTTTGACAACTTTTTTGGGCAGCGGAATGGGGAGGAAGGCATGGACATTGACGACCCGTTCTCTGGCTTACCCATGGGCATGGGTGGCTTCACCAACCTGAACTTTGTCCGCTCCCGTCCTGCCCAAGAGCCCACCCGAAAGAAGCAAGATCCCCCCGTCACACACGACCTCAGGGTCTCGCTTGAAGAGATCTATAGCGGCTGTACCAAGAAGATGAAAATCTCCCATAAGCGGCTGAACCCCGATGGAAAGAGCATTCGCAACGAAGACAAGATCTTGACCATCGAAGTAAAGCGGGGCTGGAAAGAAGGGACCAAAATCACCTTCCCCAAGGAAGGCGACCAGACCTCCAACAACATTCCAGCTGACATTGTCTTTGTTTTAAAGGACAAGCCACACAATATCTTTAAGAGAGATGGTTCTGACGTCATTTACCCAGCCAGGATCAGCCTTCGGGAGGTAGGATGCTAAGTAGG